TGGAAAAAATACCAGTAACCCCTTCGTCGATATACGTTACGCGCGAAATTCATTAGCCGATCCAGATCGGTAGCGAGAAAGGGTTCGTTGCTCAGTGACGGACCCGTGTACGAGACAATGAGACTAGCCCCGTGTAACGTGCCCACGATTTTTTGTCTCACGTCGCGCGGAGACAAAAATACCGTTGCGCCGCGATTTGCATCCCCGGAGGAAATAAGAAAGTGAAACGTGGGGATAAAAAAAAAACGAAACCGAAAAAAAATTTGATCGAGGAAGAGTCGAAAAACGGGCCTTGGAAGGGTGGTTCAAGGGGTGGGGATGGAAATTGGCGAGGGGTACGCGAGCAAGGCCATTATTTTAATTTTCGTCCCGACAGAGCGTGGCGGTAGGACCGAGTGAACCAGCGAAAGGGATGGAAGAAGAGTCTTCCTTTGCATAATCTTCATGGGGTAGTTCCGTGCAGGACTCTCACGCGGCACCGTGTGTTCCAGTTAGTCGCTTCGGGCCGGTACGGTGTTTTCCAAGGTGTTTTGCATCTTCACCTTTGGGTCGAACCGAGACCCACCCCTCGGCGTGTATACACTTTTAACCCCGTCCCTCGAGAAATTACCCTAAAGAGCTGCTCTAAGCGTTTTAAGGGATTAAGATCGGGCAGGCGTAAAGAAGCGCGGAAAAAAGGGTTGACCACCCGCTGGGCGAACACCGGCGACAGATTACAACATACGAAAACGTGTTTACAGGGGAACCAGTGCCGGATCTCTTCGCCTTTTCATCCCCCTTGTACTCCACGCGCTTAGCACTCGCTTACGCGGCCTTGGACTACTCCGGAAAACCAGACTTGACCTAATTTCCTCTCTCTCTGCGCTTTACTTCTGACTTCTTTAACCGTTTGCTGCGAGAGATTATTTTTTAAAGACATCTTCTATGAACGTGCGATCAGTACTGAACTTCTTGAGAAATTATTATACAAGCAGATGCCCTCCCTTCCCCTTCAAAAATATCGTATAGACAAATGGAACTGACGCGTATCTACGAGCAACTGACTAAAGAAACGCTAACCGGTAGGATTAAAAAAATGGAACCAACGACTTTGCAATTAACTGCCGTTCGCGACACAGAGCGCGGTCGATCATCCCTGAGATATTCGAGAGGGGTTGAAACTACCCGTATATGTCCGTATGCAGATTGCCCGATTGTCTTCGGGTCCTTCTTCCTTTTTTTCTCTCGCCTCGATCAACCCCCTACCCAGTCGCCGAAAAAAGAAAAGCTCACCGGCCCGTTCCGTGAGAATCTTCGAGGCATTTGCATGCCGCGGATTATTTAAATCGTCCCCTCATTGTCGTGGCTCCTTGTTTTTTCCTCGAGGCCTCTCCACGAGGTCCCATGGTGTGGGTCCTGCGGGCACCCGACGCTAGACAAAAAACCGGCTGATCCTTCCTATACAACCCGCGGAAGCATCTTCCGCATCCGAAAACTCATCCCCCCTCGACACCCTGACCGGTCATTCGAATACTGAAACGCGTTTCGCGTCACGATCGTGAATGTCGTTAAATCCAAACGAAGGATCCGGACGTAAAGATTGAAGGAAGTTATAAAGGACTCTCTTAACAGTCCATTCTCTTTCCCTAAGAAATGCAACTGTGGACGAAGTACAGCGAAAAGTCTGTCGGATTTGAGGAATAAGTCGGAGAGAAAAAATGCTCTGGGATACCGTTTGGTGGTCTGAAGAAAAGACTTGTCCCTAACGGCGCGCAGCGAGACCTGACCGATTCCTCGCGTATTCAAATGAACTCTCTCCCTACGCTGTTGTCTCGTGAACAATTTTTTTCGCGCTTCCGTCTGTTTGTTTTTTTTCCCTTCCTCCACCGTACGGGGCGGAGCGAGTTGCATGCAAAACGATCTTCAACCCTTTCTGCTGCGTCTCCTCGTTTCTTTTTTTCAGCACCCATCGACCCCTTTGTCTTCGTCTCGCGTTCCTTTCTTTATCTCGCGACCGTTTTCTAATCCGGCCTCGTCGAAATTATGCAAAGGGTTCCCGTAGGAAGAGACACGAGAGAGGCGCGGAAAACAAAATTAAAACAGGGGTAACCCGTTTCCCGCAAAAAATTTGGAGGCTCTTTTTTTCTACTCTCGTGTTTCCGAGGTATCGTCGATCACGTCGCGATTCTAACGGACTCGTCTTCCGGACGATTTCAGTACTCATCCGTTTTTTTTTTTTTAAACGCATGTCGTAACCGTTAAGCATGTAGTGGCTATACAGTCAATCCCGAAAGTTTATGTACCTTAAAAAAACGCATTTCCTATAATTAAAAAGAAATCAGACGTCGGA